TACTCGACGATGGTCTCGTGGCTCTGTAGGTGTTGCTTCGTCTGCAGTTCGAAGAACTCCTGCATTGTCAGCTTCTTCTTGGATAGGAAAATAAGCACTTGCTTTTAATTCTCCTAGGTGTCACGCGAAGTCATCATTACACAATATTACCAAACACTCAAACAACATAACACAAAAGCACATAAAAGGCGGTGGCGCCAACGCTTCACTCACCACGTTGGCCTACCGAGGCGGCCCGCGGTGCCGTCCCCGGCTAACCCACCGCGAGAGACAACCGTTCGCGGCAGCCACCACGCGCAGAAGAGCTTCGCTCACTCTCGCCGGCCAACAAGGCCTGCCTTCGGCCAGGGGTCACCGTCGGCGCTACCACTCTACCAACAGTGGTACTCAACGCGAACACAACGCCATCTATCGTCCGGCGGTTGTCACCCCCGAAAAACGACTTCTGTGCGGGACAAGTGCGCCACGTGGCGCAAGCAACTTTACTGGAGGTGTCAGCACCCCCACAACATTCATCTCCAATAGTACCTCTGACCCAAGCGGGTGTAGGTCTTGAGAACGCCAGCGTGAGCGCTTTGTAGATCGGTATGGAAAGTAGCACATATTAGCATGCGCACGTGGCGAGGTATGGACACATCTTTTGAGCGCCAAAGCATCTCGGAAGGTGTGTCGCACTCTTGTGACCAAGCAGACAGGCCGTTGGAGGCTGTCAGAAGGTTGATAAGAAGGGCGACAATGGAAGCGAAGTCGCGCACGAATTGGCGAAAGTAGGAACACAGCGCAATGAAACTTCGGAGCGTCTTTATGCAAGTCGGCCTGGGGAATTCGGCCACGGTACGGAGTTTCGCTGGGTCCAGCAGAAAGCCTTCTTTACAATCCACGTGACCCAATATCGTCAACTGGCATGCCGCAAACTGATACTTCTTCATGTTGAGTTGGAGACCAGCTCAGCTGAGGCACGTCAGAATCTCCTAAACGCAGACAAGGTGAGTTGTAAAATCACTAGGAAAGACTATCATGTCATCCAGGTAGCAAAGGCAAAAGTTCAACTTGTAGCCACGAAGGACATTGTCTATCATCCATTCGAATGTAGCTGGGGCGTAGCACAATCGGAACAGCATTCTTAAAACCTACACCCGCTTGCGTCATAGGTACTATTGGCAGGGAATGTATCCATATGTGTGCAAGTATATCCACGCTTGTATTCTGTGCCTTCTAAGCAGTTGAGAGCATCATCAATGGGCGAAAGAGGGTACACATCCTTCCGGGTTACCTTATTGAGGCGGGGATAGTCGACACAGAATCTTATGGTTCCATCCTTCTTGTGCACAAGAACCACACGAGAGGACCAAGGGCTTTGGGATGACTGAATAACATCGCACTGAAGCATGTCGGCTACTTGTTCATTATTAATCTTGCGCTCCACTGCAGAAACTCGATAGAGTCGTCGTAGTGAGTGACGGTCTTAGTGCGGCCCACGGTTGGCCGGGTGCAATCGAAAGATGAGTGGAAGTCGTGCCGAAAAGCGAGAAGTTAGGTGCGATATGATGGCAGTAGGTCGTGGGCAATTGAAGGGAGAAACTTATCTAGGGCTGAAGACTTTAGAACAGGTGACGTCATGGCATTTAGCTGAAGGTAGGGTTCGTCCTCATAAATATCTAGAGAACTCAGGAGGTCGGCGCTTTGTATACGCCCCACAGATTGCCCTCGAAGCAACGTCATGCCAGACATGAGTGAGTTGGCAACAAGCACCATCGTCGCACCAGATTTAACTGAGAGTACTGCAAAGGAGAGTTGTAAGCTGTGGCAATGCAGGAAGACTTCCGACGGAGCGAAAAATGCTGCCCCGTCCGGCGCAGTTGTACACGTTAGGGTGACAAGGGTCCACGCCCTTGGGGAGAGGGGGTATCTGTGTCTTCCGCGACGGCAAGTTTGTGAGAAGGAGAATTCTGTGATAGAGAGGTCTGCAAGGGTGTAAGAACGACTTCCGTACGAGAGCAGTCTATGATTGCGCTATGACTTGTGAGGAAGTCCCACCCAGGAATAAACGTCGTGGGAGCAGGAGGGTAGCACGAAAAACTCGATCACATAGAGTGAATCCTAAATGATAATCCGCGCCATGCACACAGCTGACGGCACAATCCACTGAGAGCTAGCTGCACAGAGCATTAGTCCGAACAGCTAGGTCGTCAGCTTCTTAAGCTTGCGGCATAGTGTTTCAGAGATGACCGAAACGGCAGCTCCTGTGTCAATAAGCACTACGGCTGCGGTTCCTTCGACTTCGACGTCAGTAACGTTTCGCGCAAAATACATAGAGGCTTTGGGCAGCCCGACTTGCCTGCAGCTTTTGCCTCTGCAGCTGGACCAATCAGTTTCCCTCCTCTATAGAGGAGCAGCAACGCATGGGGGGCAGAGAGCGTCGTGGAGGAGATGGGGGTCGGGCACTGGCACTGGAGAAGGAGGGGCGGTTATTTGAGATGGGAGTCGGTGGTATGCTTGGCGACGAGGAAACGGGCGTAGTCATTGCGTTGAAAAATAAGGGAAGTAGCGGCAGCAGTGGCGAGCGATGTGGCCAGCAACACCACAGGTGAAGCAGATGGGCCTGCTTTGTGGCGTTCCCCACACACCTGGGCGGCGGCACAACACAGGCGAAGGCCCTGCGTAGGGAAGCGACGATGCAGAATTCGTGGTCAGTAGTGAGGCGGGGCTCGGCATCGCAGGGCCGGAATAGGGTGAAAGCTGCTGAGGTGGCAGAGAAGCGATAGCAGCGTAAGTAAGCGGCGCAGAGACGGGCTCAGAGACGGGGACATACAGTGCAGGTTGCTGAGGGGCAGAGCCAATCATCCACATCCGAGTTCTCGGAGCTGGTGAAGATGGGCGACTCTCGCTGGCAATACATGGCGCCGCAGGTGATGTGGACGGCTGAGGGTCCGGGTTGGGGAGGGGTCTTGTTGGCCATGGTGGTAATGAGGTCACGAAGCAGGGAGAGCTTCTGGGAGCGAAGGTCCAGATTGGTACAGCGAATCCATGTACCTCCACCAAATTTGATGCAATTCATGGACGCTGGACATCAGAAAGCTCAACAAACAATAACCATGAAGCACCAAGGAGCGGCAGGCATAAAGCAGTCAAAATCCGAGCAAGCGCGAGCTCGAGTCTGGTTCTGCTACTGAGGCTGGTGCTTGCTTGCTTGCTCGTGTCTTTTGTTGTCGTCTTTCCCTCACTACAGTCTTATCAGAAGATTGTCTTATCAGAAGTGCCCTGAAAAACCGAATGCTGACATGCCAAGTGCACGGAAATATGTTGTTTGAAACCACTGTATCGAGTACACTTACAAGGGGGAGGAAAAGAACAAGAAAAGCATTTATTTGGCTTAGCTTGATGATAACTACGCTTTCAAGTAAAGTCAATGCACTTATCTAACAGCAGCATGACCATATTTTCATGATTAGAAAATGATAAAAGGGGAAAGACAAGCACATTTTTTCTTCAAAGAAAGAAAAATTTATTATTGTGGCTGTTCACCTTCTGAGAGGCTGTTTTACAGGCTTTTCTATCTTTTTTGCATATGCCTCCATTGCATACCGTTACCTTGACAAAACCAATATACGCCAAGTTGTTTCTGGAAGTCTGCAAGTTCTTCTTGAAGGTTTGTATATGTTCTTATTTTCAGCCCGCAGTAACTTTTCTTGAACAATGCGCAGTTGAAGATCTCCATGAACACTACACTCACGATCACAAGCCTCGGGCACCCAAAAAAGACAAAACACAGCTTTATTTATTGTGCAGACTCACCTTCCTTTATGTCATAAAGAAAATGGTGCATCAGAATTTGCTGCATTTCGCTGGGAAGAGATACAACACGCACAGGCCCAATGTAAAATAATGCAAACTGACCACGACATGTGCTCAGGCGCCATTGTGTGACGGGAATGAGAATGCTTTTGACTCCTCTGATGGGACTGCTAGTGCTTCATATGTACACAGTTTCCGTTTCATGTGGTGAAGATTATAAAGCACAGACAATCTCTATTCCCATTTTCACTTTAATTTGGCTTTCTTTTGTCCCCCCCCCCCCTTTCAATTGAATTTACCCTATAGCTAAGCTATTGTGTTCTGTTCTCTATTGTACTCCTGTTGGGGAACTGAGAACGTGAGTAGAATACAAATTAAAAGACGAACGCTTTTTGTTGCTTTCTAAGCCAATAACGCTGGCCCATTCTCCACCTACAAGCTAGGGGTGAAGCAGATACCAGCTTTAAGTGCTGACCTTTCCTTTCAATTCAGCATTTATTTGCTTTGAGTCTTTGCAGCAGGGCAGAAGGCTTTTTTTTTTCTCATTTTGTTTTCTCTTGTTTGCCTGAATGCTCCCATCAAGACTATAGTGTTCGTTGTGCAGAATTCCTGTAGTTGTCGGTCATTGTGAGAGTTCGTCTTAACAGAAGAGGCCTGTTATGCGGTTCGTCTTAAGCAGGTTTTTTTTTGCATGGAGTCTATGGGAAACAAAACAGACATTCCCGTGCTGTTTGTCTTAAGCAAGAATTTGTCATCAGAGAGTTTTTATTAATGAGAGTTTACCTTAAAAGGTCGTGGTTCCTATTTAATGTATGCTCTTGACTTACCCTTCGGCCCGTCGTGGTACCACAATTTCAGTAGCTCAAAAAGTAAGGACACAGACAGGAGCATGAGACTGGACTAGCACTAACAACCTGTCTATGTGTTCTCTATCATGCCTGGCTTTTTACAGTGTGCTACCGAAATGAATGTTTTGTTGACTCTGAAACATGAAGCCCGCTCTCAATCTGCGCCAAAGAAAGCATTCAAGCGATCGGAGGCCAGATATGCATCGGGTGCTAGAGTTGCACGATTAAATGTCGGTTGTGGTTCGAGGTCAAAACGAGAGCACCTCAACGTGCTCCACGTTCAAGCCAAACAGACTTAGAGCATTCATGTGTGCTCAAAACGATCAGTTGCATAGACAGATGCAAGGAAAATCTTACCAGAGCCATCTCTTCTGTGGGCTGCCGCTGAGCTGTGCGACCCGGTGCACTGCGGCGCAGTTCTTGTAGAGTGGTGGACAGCTGCTTGCTCGACCGAGTGACCATGCTGTGGAGCACCACAGGGTGCTGCGGTATGTCGATGTGCACGGCCCCTACCGACAACAGGGCAGCGTGGCGTGCCGTAGGTCCCCAGCCGCAGCTGGAGCCCAGGGCTTGCGAAGTGCCCACGTCCATGGTCACCACCATCTGGTGGTTCGGAGGCTGACCTTCCAGCAAGACTACACTTGCCGGCCCAAGACGGCCCGTGGCAGACGACTCACTCTGGTGACTTCTCTCACGAAGAGTCTCCTGCATCAATCACAAGAAGCTCTAGGCAGGAATCTCAATGTGATGCTCGCCATGGAAATGCTTATTGTCTAAACACCTGCATCATAATTTAAGCGGAGCAGCCTGCATTAAGGATGCTTGGCGCTGCCTTTTCTTTTCACTGAGCTGTTTCTTTGAGCAGAAGCTACAACGTCAACAACTCCTGCAGCTGCTTGCAAGTGGCTGGTTGGGCTCGGTGTTACTAAGGAAATCATGGCCACTGGCAGTTCATATTTACTTTAGACAGCCAATGCTTAAATGCTAAGAACAAAATAAATTTCTTTGACAATGATCACCAACAAGCAAAAACATAGGCATTGTTGAGGTAATCTTGGGGCATCAAGTGACGGCTGCAAACACAGAGACTTCGGCATTGTGCATTATTTGGGTACCAAGAGCTCTATGTTCAGAGCATAAAGTTTCCCAAGATATTTACCAAAATGAACTTGCCTAATCTTTGTGCTCGTAACCTTGAATGCACTTGTGGTGGCTTTGTTTATTGCTGTGTTTTGGTGTTTGTTTCCGATAAAAGAATAGATTGTTGCGAAGTTCATGAACTGATTTGAATTGGTGGGGCTAAATGTGTATATTGTGTATATTGTGTAAATGTGTATATTGTGTGGTGTGTATATTGTCGAATAGACTTGCCAGCTCTGCAAGGCTAGTGCCATTGCCATTTCCTCTGCTTCGTGGACATGGCTGGTTTGGACGGTTGCCGCGTTTATGAGGTTTCTGTCTATATCAACGACCGCTATGGCAAACGCCTCCCTGCTATAGTAGCAGGCGGACTCTACGAATAGGCGGCATCTACGAATAGCACGTGCGTGTTGTGTTTTTTTGCTATGTTTATGAGTGCCCTCGCCCTGACCCTGCTTTGGCCTTTGTTGAACGTTGGGTGAACGATGCGGGGGATCGGCTCAACCCTAATGTCTTTCCTCACATCATTACCAAGTTAGGTTCTTTTCTCTGGCTGAAAAATTGGGCAAATGCCTGCGTCTCGTAAGATGAGATGGCCGGCCTGCGTCAACGACAGGTGTGTGATTGGTGCCACTCTCTGGGCCTCAAAAATTTCTTCGGCTGTGTTGTGCAGACCGAGTTGCTCGTTCCTCGTGCTATTGGGCAAGCCGAGTGCCGTTTTCAGTCCCCTGCGGAGCATGGAGTCGACCTTTTTGATTTCAGCCTTCGTAAGTTTCAGAAACGGGAACGCATATGCTACGTGACTTAGGAGAAAGGCGTGATACACCTTTATGATATTGTCTTCTAGGAGGCCTGCTTTCTTGTTGGCGATTTTAGCAATGCATCTAGCAAAATTGTTCATGCTTTTTTCAAGGCGCTTGAGTGCTTCCTTGTTGTGGCCTTCCTTGGTGCTTAAATCAGCCCTAGTACCTTAACTGTATATACAGTGCAGTCCACTTATAACGATACCACATATAACGATATATCGGTTATAACGATGGGTCGACTTAACAGTCTCATTTTATGCATTGGGGCTATGGGGAAAAAAACCATATATAACGATATGTTATCCACCGCATATCGGATACTACGATGAAAAGTTTGCCGTGGACGGCATGTTTCATTCAGAATAATCGTAACATTTAGATTGATAAGTTCCTCTGAAACGAACTATGCCGAGACAAGACGAAAAGTTAGCGTAGGCGAGTACCTGCCACCACTGCAGCACAGCGCCGGCAGCGCGTCCCGGCCGTTCAAAAAGCCGAGGAGAGCGTCGCGAGTTGGCGCGACGCGCTACAGATGGCGCCAGCTGTGTCACGTTTTGCGCCTCGCCGCGCGTCGACTGCAGAGAGGCTGAGAGAAATAAAAAAATATTGCGAAAAGCAAAGCGCCGCGCTCCGCGGCTCCCCGCCTTCTACAACGGCAAGCCGGCAAGCTACTCGTAGCTTGCCGAACGAAAGCGGGAAAGAGAGAGAAAATAAAAAAAGCGAAAAGCAAAGCGGCGCGGCGGCATCGGGGCGGGGCCTCGTTGGCATTCCGGCTGTGTACCTCTGGCTGTGCTTTCTTCCTCCCACTGCTCCCACCCCGCCGTCGGTCAGTCTCTCTTCCTAAGCGAACCCGTGATGCGTTCTTCGGAGTAAGAAATAAAGTCTTGTTTTTGACATCCTACTATCTACAATATTTATTAATTGGTGAAAATAGCGACATGAAGCCTGGAGCTACAAAAGGTACGTCCGGCGACGATTTTTTGGCGGCAGTCCAGATATAACGATCACCGGTTATAACGATCATATTTTTAGGTTTTCTCGATATCGTTATAAGTGGACTGCACTGTACTTGCGGTATCGTTTGTTTGTTCTCTGCTATGAGCAATACTTGCTGCTTTTTTATGCTGATTTCAAATATTTAATTAGTTTTCCTCTAACTCATCTTGTTCCCGAGATAACTTAAGTTCACACCCCATTGTTTAAATTTCGATAAAAAAAAGTGCTTAACTAAAAGTGATATTTAAAATAAGCCAACATAGATTAATGACAATATATTGAAAGTATGCAAGTTTTTTTGTTTTTAGGCCTTTCTTAGTTATTTTACAGCAAAATGAACTATTCATTGTCAAAAGCAGTTGGAATTGTGTCACAATTTTGATGAATAATTAATTAAAACGGCTTGTGCTCTATATTCTGATCCCATACTTGCATTCTACACACATACAGGTTTTCATTGCGAAAAGAATTATTGTTGCACCTGCCCTAGCTGCGGAGATATTGAGGCCTCGAAATTTTGAACAGTCGTAAATTTACTTTTTGAGAAAAGTGAAAAAAACTGTAAACACACACTTTCTTCAAAAAAGCAACAATTATGGTGCGCGTATTTTGCAATCCTCATAAAAGTGCTTATAAATTCATAGCAGAGGTTCTAACACAGGTTTTGGCAAATTATAAGGAAGCCTCGAAGTCGGTTCCCCATTTTTTTTGCATGGTCTACATGTTAACTGCACCGTGAGTCTGGACAGTTAGAATGACATTACAAAAAAGTACCACTTCCTGGTGTGTGAAAATTTGCACAAAAATAGAAAAATACAGTCGAATCACACTAATTCAAGTACGCTTAATTGGAACTCACGATGAGGTCCCGTCAAAGCTATGTGTATTTCAATGGGCGAAAACGCCCGGTGAATCGAACGAGCAAGCACTTGCGACGATCAATTCGAACATACCGCGCTTGGAAAAGGCTCTCAGCACCCCGCCCAATCCCACGGCGGCACCACCGATGCCTCAACGCAGCGCGAAAAAGGAAAAGAAAAGGAAAGAAAAGGCTTCGGTGGAATTTTCGCTCTCTCTCAAATGCCGATTTCTGACACGCCTTTGCGACGCTTCTCCCTTTTCCGCCTATGCCACGCCACGTAAAGACCCTTCTCCTTCCAACGCCATGCGCAAAGAGAGAGAGAAAAAAACCTGTCGAGGAGTGTGGCTCTCTCTCATGTGCTTGTGCTATGCTTTCCCCCTTTCTCGCTCCTGCCACATAACCCTTCAACTTTCAATGACGCGTGCGAAAAGAGCAAAAAAAAAAAAAAAAGCTGCCATGGACTGTTCGTTTATTTCAAATGCTGATCTGCTCCTCTCCTCGTGGAGACGCTTCTCCTTTCTTGTCATGTGCTGGCCACGCTGCGGCTTTGGCAGAGGGTAGCAGATGAGATGCAGTCATTGTTGTCGTCTTTAGAGAGTGTCGGCGCTGGACATTGCCGCGCACAATTTCTCTTGCCAGGAGAATGCTGAAGCCAAAGTAGACATGCTTTGCAAGCTCATGCAAAATTGATTGACTCGCCGCAAGGCAAACCTGCGCAGACGCGCATCACCGATTACTTCAATTAATGACGGATGTCCTGTGATTTGTCAATAAATGTAAGTCTTCTGAAACTTCCCCCTCATGTGTTAGCTCAATGCACATGCGCCACTGCATGGGGAGCCCTCCGTTTACTTACTTTCATTAATTCAAACTTCTTTTAATTCGAACAAATTTTCGGGCCCCTTCAACTTCGAATTATTGAGATTCGACTGTACTTAAAAAAAACCACATAAATCAATTTTGAAAAAAAAAAATTTTTTGTCACTTTTCGGTTCCAAAAACCGGCTTGCCCGCTTAATTGTTTTACATCAACTCATGGTTTGATTTTTTTACTGCATTTTAATCATATTTTTCCTGAATAAAGAATTCAGTTGCTTGTAGTGTGTCATCCTATGCCCTTTTTTTCTTGTGTATTGTGTATTTTGCACCCCCCTCGATTTTGAGGTGCTTTTCTAAAAAATTTTATAAACACTCCTAGGGCAATTACCATGTAGACCACTTATAAAAAAACCACTTATAGTGCAGGAGCTGCTACAATACTGCCACGCTCCTTTCTCAAGTGTTGTTATCACCCCACTACACGTGTAAGCGCTGCCTTGAGCAACCATGTCGATTGACTAAAGAATTATAGAGATAATCGTAGAATGTTCCAATGTGATTACGAGCACAACACAAAGATCACAGATTGTTCTGGAACATATGTAACGGCTAGCAATGACGCTGAAACATTCGACGGAACATGTATAAATGCCATCGCGCATCATTGTTTGTCAGTTGATCGATGGTTGACGCTCTGTTCGTCACTATCAGTGTAAGTGTGTTGCTCCAACCTAACTTTCTGTTTACCAGCCACAAGTTTGGCCGAACAAACAGTTTCATCCAAACACCCAGCCTGCTCCTTTCGTGAGAGTCATGACCCCGAGACAATACAGGATTTTTCGACGCCCGTTTGCCCTCCCGTGGAACCCCATTGATGTATATGAGGCTATATTGAGATATATATTTTGTATAGAAACACCGAAAGTATATAGAGCCTGAAAGGTTGGATATTCGCTCTCAAACGTTGCAACCACTGCACTTCCACGAGGCCTTAAAAACCACCGGAATCATTGAAAAACTCAGGATTGTCCACAAATTTTCACTAGATGCTTCAGGAAAAAAATAGCCATGCTTTTATAGCG